AATCGAGTGATTTGGCAAATTATTACGTATCATTTGATACACACGACGGTAACTTTTTTCCCAAACACGTAATCTATCCATAAAAGATTTTGCGAATTAATATCTATCAATGAGAATATTATTATCACGAACGTGCAAAGTATAGTTACAATTTTTATCATTGACTCTCGTAAATACAATAATACAAGAAAAAATGTTTTTACAAAAAATGTATCGAATACTCGGCAGGATCCCTTCAATATCGATTTCGACACACGCTGCTGCAATCGCGAAATAAGCTCATTAAAAGTTACAAAAATCGATATCCGATAAAATCGAGAAGTTCGCCGATCGAGTATTGTTGTTGCCCAACCGCATTATAGAGATGCGTCGCAACTGATAATCTTAAGTATGTTGCTCTAGTTATTGTTGATCACAATATTTGATCATCTAAATGTACCATTATAGTATTAAAGTTCATTGTCATTTCGATAGAATCTAAATCAATTTAGACCTAGATTTAGTAAGACTAATACCTACTAATTTTAATAAGAACACGCCTGCTTACGAGTACTTAGAAGTGAGAAGAGTGTTCTTATTAAAATTTTAAATGGGTTCAACCATTTAAGTCTATTTAAGCCAACTGAAACTATTATTTAGCTTTCAGTTACATCATAATAGATGTGAATTATTATCTTTACATGGGTCCAAGTTCACGTTTGACCTAAATCTCAATGAATAGTGACGTTGTGGTTTAAACTGAATCACGTTTGTTCAGTAAATACCTATTAAATTGTGATTTAAGACACAGGAGTAGCAGGAGTGTGGGAATATAATCAAAATGCTCGCATGATAAACGTAGCCTTATTTTGCATACAGGGTATTCCCACCTCTCGTTCCCACCGCTGCAACTCCTGTGTAGCCAAGATCTACAGCTTAACCGCCAATGAAAAAAATAGGAATGTATGTACCTATTAACTTTGTATATGATATAATATGTTTAGATTCTGAAGCGACTCTCAATTTTATGTCTTAACTGAATGTCTGATTAGACCAAATAAATGAAACTCTACTTATCACTAACTTAACAAACATGGTCACATAAAACACTTTTCTTGTTTAATTCCTTAGGTACATACTTACTTAGTAGATACTTATACGTATTCTCTCACTTTCGACATTTTCAAATACACACAACAATGAAAGTAGAAAAACTAATAAACAATACTTCACTAAAAACGGCCAAAATACTAGGTAACACTTAAATTCGCACGCAGCGCGTAAATGTCCCGACTTCCTTAGCGGAGACAATGGAATTAACCTTCCACTGCTCACAGTAGTTCTAATAGACCTAAGTGTTTTTTTTTTTCAAATGTGAGTATTTTTCAAATTCAGTTTTATGAGTTTCAAATCGCATAGCCCTTCAATTACCAGCGAATCGAGACACAATAGAAATCATTTTTACGGCGGTCTCATGCGACCACTTAGGGTTTGCAGTTCTGCACCAATAGTACGGATTCGTAAAAGGGTCATTCTACGATAGGGTAGGTGAAAAGAAAAAAAAAGTAAAATCCACTTTTTTAATTATTTATAGTATCAAAAATATTTGTCTAACATAAAGAATCTTATAAAAAATAACGACAGAGATCAAACTTAATTATTCAATTTTAAAATGAACTTTTTTTAAATAATGAGATAGACAGAAGTGACCTTAAAATCGACAAATGTGACACTTTGTGTTGTAGGTCCTAAGAATTATAAAAATTAAAACAAAATCAAGCCGTAATATTATAGCCTATAACGTTAAAAACTAGTTCTCAGTCTCAAATAATTCAAGGTAATCAAAAGTTTAGAATTAAAAAAATAAGAAAAAATGTCGTCAGAAAATAAATCATTTCTGTCGACGAATCAAAAAATAGCCTCATCACTAGACGATGACATTAAATGAATACGTTATTGTTTTACGGAATTAGGAAGATCGTCAAATTCTTCAAACTGAGTCTCAGAAATGTTTTATATAAATAAATAAAATGTTGCATGCAATACTTCATGCATGGCAATATTAACAGAGCGATCACAACAAATACGTTTCGTTCTACCAATTTTGTAATAAAATTTATAAAAATGTAAAAATATAGCAAAAAAAAATCACAAACTACTGTTTTTTATTTAGAAATCACTAATGTTTCATGTTATAAAAAGTAATTGTATTTGCAATTGCTCATTGCTAACAATCATGTTTTTACTGAATAATTTCCAAAGAACGAAACGCTCTTGATAGAATTGGCCTAATATCGAGCCCTAAAGTCGTAATAATATGCATAACTGTCAGAAAAAAGTTTGTTTGAAAAGTGTTTCTGTCTGACAGCGCCATTTTAAAATTCCTTAATAATTTAGACGGAAGCATGGATAATTGTAGTGCCACGATGTCACTGACAGATACGTACATATCACACACACAATAAAACACCCTTCTGTTTGGGTCAGGAATTGAAAACAGTATTAAAAGCATGAATATATCATTTCTGTCGGCAAAACTATAGACAAGTGTGACATAGACAGAAATGACAATTTGAAGTAATTTGTAAATTTTGGTTTTAATTTTACAGTTAGATTGTAAATAATTTAGGCACAGTAAATAATTCCACATTTGAACAAGGGCATGTGATAAAAACATCTCTAATAAGTAACATACCTTAATTATAATGTCTTTTAGAAGTGACACTCCAACTTTGAGATGATGTAGAACCACTCTTAAAATATAATTTACTGGTGCAATACTCTCTTTGCAGAAAAAAATGTCTCTGTACAATAACAAGTGGGTTGAGGTGTTGTCACAAAATATAAATTAATGTTCCCACCATTACATTTTCTTCATTTTTTAGTAGAAACTTCTACAGTCGACAGGTGTGTCAAAAATCTTATAACAGTTGTAGAATCGTCGGTTATTTCTTATTTTCAGATCAAAATTTATTGATATTGAATAGATATAGTCTTGAGTATGTCTGATTTATTAATCACGACTTGTTATCCCATTTTAATGAACGGATTTTTTTTTGCAGGTATGCAAACATGAGAAACCGTGTTCATAACAGTCGACAGAGCGTGATATGTCACATACTGTCGGCTGAAAAAATCTAATAAAATAAATGTATTTTATGTTTCTTCACCTATTTTTTGAAGCTACTAAGTACACTTTTGCTTATAGAAGTTCTTAACTAAACGAAGACCACTTATTTTATAAGTAATTTCAGCTGAACAAAAAAACGGCCTCTTCGTAGAATGACCCAAAAAATACACACCGCTTTAAGCGTCGGATATGGTTCATGTAACGGAGTGGAACATGGCCTAGGAATTAGAAATATTAACGGTTAGTCTCAAGTTGGTTAAACATAGCTTGTGCAGCACGGAAACATATTTCTAAATCAGATAGTTTTAAAGTACCTACCTAATATTGTATTATTATTTGTGTTGCAATTTCAGTCAGTCAGACCCACGACCTTGTAGTGATGTACTATCAAGTTTAAGTGACCTTCTTATAAGAAGATATTATCGTCTCTTTTAAAGATAATAGCTTCGGAGAGAGTAATACCATTTACCATTCAGATAGTTTAAAAGAAAGAAATATATTTATAATGTACCAGAAATAAAAACAATCTAATTTAGGGATAAGCAGGATACGACTTAAGATGCTATGTCTAGTAGTGTGGAATCGTTATTAATGTCAAATAGTGTGATTGGACTAAAGTGTTTTGACTGAACAATTATTAAAAAAAAATTGCGCACGCATTGTCATAACAATAAAATTAGGTTTTTAGAACAAAAAGTTATTTAGCACAACATGTTGTGCACTTTGAATATAATAACATTCGCACAACATTTCCAACGTGCATGCAAAAAAGCATAATTAATAGTTAAGTGAAGAAATAATGTTAGTGCACAGTTGACGAGAACTAGAACTTGACACGAACCCGGCAATGTAAAATATGTATGAGCATAAATTATAGCCAATAGGGGTGGGATTTTAAGTTTCCTGTTTCTAAGGTAATTTGTATGAGCTATGGTCAAGTGGAAATACTTGAAATATCATGTAACCAGAAATCCGAAGATTAATTCTTCCTTCTTATGCCCGTTTTCACCATCAATCCCTAACTTTTACTTAGGGACCCCTTTGAAAACATAAAACCTGTTGTGTTACCTTAGGGGTCACTTAAAAATTGATGATGAAAACGGGCATTACTTAGTTACTTAAATTGTATCCTGCTACTATTAACTTTATCAACTTAGATAAAATAGATGGATCTCTAAACCAATATAAGCGCCCTAATGCATTTTCCCCATTTAACATGATTTAAATGACTATTTATCTATTAAGTAGGTCATGTAAGACTTTTAGTTCAATCACTAACATATGTATTGCGAATATTTTGTTTTTTTTTTTTTTAATTTCACTTACTCTAGTTTCATTTTAACACATTCATACGGTCCGCTGTCTTCTCTAAGTATTCGAGTATTTCCGCGACTAATCACGGGTTAAGTGCGTCGATTGGCGGGTCGCTTCGACTCCGAGTTTCCCTCACAAAGGTCCGTGAGAACGATGCCAGTGAAGATGGACGTTCTATGATTATTAGCGAGGCCTTTTCACTAATACTAGGACTAACCCTTCAATGCCGAAGGGTCAGTTTTTAATCAATTTTATTTGATTTTTTACTAAGTGTAAAGTCACTAAATAGAAACGATTATGTAGAAAGTGCAATGTTCAACGCAGTATAAAATTAAATTATTTGTAAACAATGCAAAATGAATTCAACCGCACACGTCACACGCGGATAAAATCTAAGCGTGCGTGCGTTTCACCGCATCGCATACATAATTATTATTAAGTCGCATTAGTCGTAATTCTGACAAATTATTATTGAATAATTAAGTAATCATTATAAAAAATGTATTGCGCTGAAATAGAATATTAATTGTTCATTAAAATAAAAATATTCTTTGGTGTAAAAAAAAATAAAACTTACCGAGAATAAGCAAAAGTTTCATCTTCGTATCTCAATCGGCTAGGACACTGGCACAAAATACAAAAAGATGTGAGCAAAAGAAAAAAATAATTCGTTCGATTTTCAAACCGTTCCGCGGTGGCGTGTTTCGCGCGCACCCGCCAGCCCGCGTGTGCGCAGCTTGGCTAGAGCTCGCGTTCACTTTCTACGAAGTGGGGCCGCCCTAGGGAAGCGCGGTTTGATGACACCACGCGTGACTGCAAACAATCGCCCGACTTGCTAATTGATGGGCTATCGACGTTTATGTCGGACGAAATTTTTATTGCACATCAGACTATATTTTCGTTGCACATTCACCCCTATTACATAGTACATACGAGTAAGATACCTCAGTAGCTTGACGTGCGGTCGTCTGTAAATAATCGTAACCAGGTACTTGATTTTTTCGCGAAAATTGTCATTTGATAGCTTATTAAGTAACCATTTTCGTGCTGTAATGTGGCGCTTATGTGGAAATGCTCTATCTATACTTTTTTTTATTAACCGGCGCTAGCATGCGACTTTCAGTTTGTCACAGATATTGTTGATTATTAAAATCTCTACACCAAAAATTAGATTCAGTGTTTATAGAGTGATTTAGGCGTAAATAAATTTTCCCGAGAAATCTCCAAAGGTAAAGGAGAGTCAAATAAGCTTAGGTTTTTATTTACTTGTATAAAACTTAATTAGAGCCATTAGAGGTTAGCAAAAAAAAATATTATTGTATGTCATCGTTAATGAATAAAAAAAAGTTAATATGTCTTCAAGTATTTCGCTTAATTTAAAGCCTAAGTAAGTAACTAAAGTAATAAATAATAGTTTTCCTATTAACGAAATAAGAAGTTTACGAACTGTTAACATATTTGTATTATTATAAGTAACTAATAGATATTATTTCCTATCGTACATTTTGCGTACAGCCAATAAAAACTAAAGTAACAACTAAACTATCTTCAGTTACTCAATGTTAATTTAAATACGATTTTCTAAAATTTTAACGACACTCGCATTTCTTTCGTAGTGAGTGTTCACTGCTTAACGTATATAAATCAAATTAAATTAATACTCTAATACATCATTTCGCACGCAATCCCAAACGTAATAATTGCATTCGCAGATATTTTTACTGCTAATGATAAGTGTTTGTATAAGCGGGCCTTTGTGCTTTACGACCAAAATAAATGATAAAGTTCTAGCACAACGCAAGTATGCGTAGTTGGTTTACTTCAAACTAACAGAAGTAACATGAATCACATTGATTCATTTGCTTTGCCTGCATAACTCCAGAAGTAGTTGTAGGCGTTAGTTGTTACAGCCAAATAGGTACATCGAATCCAATGTCAGTTTAACTTTCCTCCGGGACAAACTTGACTAGTTGTGTTTTTATTGGCGGTCAAGCAGTAGATCCTGGCTACACAGGAGTTGCAGCGGTGGGAACGAGAAGTGGGAATAGTCCCGTAGCCAAATACATCATCATCATCATCATTTCAGCCACAGGACGTCCACTGCTGAACATAGGCCTCCCCCAATGACTTCCACATGGCACGGTTGGTAGCGGCCTGCATCCAGCGCCTTCCTGCTACCTTCATGAGGTCGTCGGTCTACCTTGCGGGTGGACGTCGCACGCTGCGTTTTCCGATACGTGGCCTCCACTCTACTCAACTCCAACCAAATACATCGCGCTCTATAAAAAATCATACACACTCGCATCTCTCTATATCTTTTCTTCTCACTTACTTTGCAATTGAATTAGGTTGTTTCATACTAACTGAAATTTTCCGCGATTAGTTTTGTAATTTTCGAATTTTCACCTTTACGTGAGCGATTTTCTTTAATTAAATAACATAATTGGGTATTTCTCATCGCCACGGTTCTCATCGTCACCTTCGTGGCGAATTTTATTTCTAACTTATTTAAACTTTTTGTAAACAAAAATTGTAGCGCTTGATGTGAAGATTGTATTCTCAGTAAATCAGTCAAATAGTGAGTTTCGTTTGGAAGCTTTAACGTTTTGAATTTTTTGATGCCACGAAAGTGATTCTGTACTTCACAGCAATATTTTTTTCTAATTTTATTACTGTAAATGACTCGTAAGTGTTTATAAAACATATATGTTGTCTTATTTTCATAGATAAATACTAATAGCAATTACATAATATAAATAGGTACCTAATTAAATACAAGATAAAATTCTACCGATGACGTCACCTACTAAGAAGATTCTACGCAATTGGTTTTAATGGTGACACTGGTGGCATTCTGAAATGCTAAAGAAACAAAAAACGGATTATCAGTACCTCAACAAAAATATTTTTTTTATTTAGGCCTCGTATTTTTGTTGTACAACTTTTAACTCAAACTTCAGATTAAATTTAACTTACAAACAGATACACAGTTACATATACAGACATACATACAGTCATACAGTCAGATAACAAAAATACGAGACCCTTATTTATTTATTGATGTAGTGATCTCTACTTACCACGTATAATTTATTAGTTATTAAAATATTGTAAAAACATAAACACCAGTCACTATATTTTAAAATAAACCAAAGCAAGAAATCACTTTCGTGGCCTAAAATCACCTTCGTGTATAAAACACCACGAAGGTGATGCCACGAAGGTGACGAAAATTTTAGTTTTTTATGAATTATCCTTAAATTTGAATTTAACGGTTCAAGTCGAATACTACACAAATAAGTCTAACATGTTAAGTTTTCNAAGCTCGTTTCATCATAAACAGTCCAGTTAGACATATATTCATAAGGATAAATACCTTTTCTACGCAATAATGCAAATTGATGTTCATTTAGACAAATTTTATGTAAATGTGTGAAGTCAGCATGGTTAAGATTATTAGCCAACTGTTCTAAACTGGTGCCCATAAATTTAAATGTATCAACAAATCTTGCTGCAACAAAAGTATCGTCTGAAAGAGGAATAAACTTAGTAAAGGAGATGTAATTTTCCTTACTTTTTGGAATTACTTTGATGGACCCGGGAATACGGCTTAGCTCCCGAATGAACAAATGGCAGTCATAGCCTGACAAATTGTGAAAAAAAATTGGAACGAATTTTGGGATTTGAAACTTAAGATTACAAAACGAGTGAGCGGCGCCTCTATAGGTACCTGTGAAGTGACAGTGATCTCTCACTTTATCACCAATTAACAAATTTGAACATAAGTAACAATACTCCGCGCTGTCAAATTTGTATAAATCGTCACCGTCAAAAATAATAGGCACAGGATCCTCGGAAGCCGATTTAATGATGCTGAAAACTTTTTTTATGTCCCTCTGTAAATAATCAACAAACTTTGATGCACAATCAGGGCCACGATAACTTACTAAACGATTAAGGCTACTATCATAATTACAGACAATGTAATATGCAAACGCAGCTGGAATATGTCGTTGTGTATTCGTTGTGTGATGCCCTTGAGTTTCGTTGCATGGTTGGAGCAACGTTTCGAAATCAGCGTATATTACAAAAGGTATGAATTGTTTACATTGAAAATTTTTAAACTGAACTACAGACCCTTTATCTGGAAGAACAGTCGTGACCCCTCCACACTCATGCTTCTCATATTGTAAATTTGATTTAAAAAATAGCAAGCAATCATCGCAAAAGTAAATCTTCCCATGATGTTTAGTAACTTGCTTTCTTATCAATTTAGGAAGATCCTTTATGTGACAATAATGCGATTTACAACCATCTTGCAACAAAAGCATGTTAACGTGGTACTTTTTTCTTAGTTTGGTTTTGTATAATGGGCCCGTAATATTGTTTTTACTATCCAAACCATAGACATTAACACTGATATTTTCGTTATTCTTTTCAAATATCTTTATGTCTTTAAATGAAACAGGGAAGGACATATTACTTAAATTTAATATAGTACTGAAGTGAGGATACGAAGACACTCGAAAACCATTCTTTTTTGCTGGGTACAACGCAGCCATTACAGTCCATGCGAAACAATATTCATCATTATTTTTGATGTTTACACATGCCCGTTTCGAACTAATCGTTTTTGGCAATTTAATATAGCATGACCCTTTTAAAGGCGAATACCTATTAATGTTCGTTTCAAGATACTGAATTTCTAAAAGAGACCACCCACTTCCCTTTTCCTGGAATTCATCTATCTTTTTACAAAGAATTTCAGAAACAATCTCCAAGAAATCATTAAAAATATAGTTTTGATGTATGGCAATATTTTCTGTTGCAAATGACTTTATTTCCATGGAATCATCTTTAGGTAGAATTACTTTAACAAATAGTTCAAAGTTTATTTTCACGTTAACATGATTAGCTAACGCAGAGTCAATAAGTCTTTTCAACTTTGAAGCAATGCTAAGCAAGAACTGCCTTGGGCAAGTAGCAGCTACAGCGCTATCATCATCCGCTTGACGCTCGCGCTCTGCGCGTATACGATAAGAAGCTATGCGGTTCCGAAATGCTGAACTGATTTTTTCAATGCCTGTATCAAACTGTACTGCACAGTTATTTTTATGTTTAGTGCTACGCAAGTGACCTGGGAAGGCTTTACTTTTAACAGACTCTTCACAAATTGAACAGTAAATAGTTTTACCCATGTTGAAAGAGTGACAAATTGGATAAAGACAAGTAATTAAGACACAAAAATATTATAAGTTGAATAAAAGTATAATTAAAAACTTACAAATTAATTATCTTAAAACTAAAATAAACACCTACTTCTAAAGATTAAAAAAATCACTTAAACTCACTATTTGTTCTTATAAAATATTGGGTCCTTGTGGAACCGCCGCTTTGCGTCCCTTGCAATTTTTTTTAATTGCACCCAGAGCGGATCGTTGGGCTTCACCCTCAAGCGCAACTGTGCAGTCCACTTTTCAGCCCGCTGACGAGGATCCAGGTCGATGATGTCGCAGGTGTTAAACACCTTGACATCGAAGAAGATCTCCCCCTCTTCGACCAGCTCGACCTGGCGCGTCACGCCATCAGCGACTCTGCGGGCCAGGGACGACCACAGCGGCGACGCTTTCGGGACTGGCTCGGGGCACGGTCCGTCGGAGTCGTCGCCGAATAATTCGCTCGAAAGCGATTTCGCAGACTTGGTTGTGCCACTGAAATGGGTCTCGGGGCAGGGCAGTAAACCGGCTGCGCGCGCGCGTAGACCTCGCTGTGACGTAGTGGCAGGCTCGGCGCTGGTCGCTCGAAGTAAACAAAGGGGCGCGTCGTGTTACAGACTCCCCCTCTGGCTCCGAAGACGTCCCGACGAGAGAGCCAGGACTGGTGTGGGTGGCGGCTTGCTGTCATCTAATTGGTTTGGGATGTCATCTTTTTCGGCCGTCCACGCCTACGCAATGGCGCGGCGGGGGCGGCTGGAGGCATCGGCTTTTTGGGCCGACCGCGCTGATGGAGTGGCGCGGCTGGCGCGGCCTGAGGCGCCACCTTCTTAGGCCGACCACGCTTGCGGAGAGGCGCGGCTGGACTGGGCAGGGGCGCTGACTCAGGGCTCAGGAACGGGCGGAGCGCTGATGCGTGGTACAGGCCCAGGCACTGGTCAGGAGCATTGGGGTCTGCAATTTCAAAAGAACCAGGTCCATGACTTCGTAGGATCATATAGGGTCCATCGCGCCTTGGTGCTAACTTGGCGCTGAACCCCTTTTGAGAGCTGCTGAGAACATGAGAATCTACCATAACAAGATCACCGTGTTTATATTTGGGTCGTTCCCTTCTTTTCTTATCTACGTATTCTTTTCTCTGTTCTTCTTTCATCTCCTGTATTTCTCTTGCTTGTTTTAATGTATTTGCTAGTAATATAAGTTTTGGTGTTATTTCGTGTATAAAATTCTCCTTTTCTATAATTGCCTTTAAGTCATGTCGAACGTCGTCTGGCGTTCTTAATTGTCTTCCAAAAGTAAGGTATGCGGGGCTATACCCGGTTGATGCTGAGACGGCCGTATTCATAGCGAACCGTATACTTGATAACTTCTCAGGCCATGTAGTGTGATCATCTCCAACTAGAATCGCTAGCTGAGTTTTTAGGTCTCTATTTCTTCTTTCGACTGGATTTGTTTCTGGATGATAAAGTGGTGTAAAACCTTGTTTTATATCCAAACAATAACTTAATTGTTGTAGTACGCCACTGACGAATTGACTTCCATTGTCGCTTATGAAACGACGTGGTGTACCATACCTCAGGATGATTTCATCAAGGAGTATTTTAGCACATTCCTGGGCTGTTGCTTGTTCCAAAGCAAACAGTTCGACCCATCTTGTTGCGTAGTCTTCCACGATGAATATCCATGATTTATTATCTGGGCTCTTTGGTAGAGGTCCAAACAAATCGAAGGTTACTACTTCAAAACGTTGATTCATTGCAGTGGTTTGCAATAGTCCTGCCGGCTTCATGTTACTGGGCTTGTATCTTTGGCAGTTAATACAAGTCTTGACATAATTTTCTATCTGAGCTCTCATCCCTTTCCAGAAATAGCGTCTGGAGATTCGTCCAAGGGTTTTCTCGATTCCGTAGTGTCCTGCAATGGGATCGTCATGGTAAGCAGAAATAATTTTGTCTTGTTCTGCCTTTGGCACTACCAGCTGACAATCTTCATCGTCTTTTTCCGGGCTGTAACGGTATAACAATCCGTTGTCCATCACATATCCCTTCTTACTCCAGTATTGAGCATCTTCATCTTTCGTGACGTCTTCTAGGGCTACAACTATTTTCTTGATATCTTCATCTTTCATCTGTTCTGTCCTTATTTCTTTGGCACTTCTGTTTGGCATGTCTACTATGACACTGCATATTCCACAACTCTCTTGAGTTTCTGGATCGCAAGTAGGACGAGATAGTGAGTCTGCTACAACATTTGTTCTTCCTTTGATATATTTTATCGTTATATCGTAAGCTTGCAATTGCAAAGCCCATCTCGCTAATCGACCGCTTGGCGACTTCAGTGTCATGAGCCATTTTAGAGCTTGATGATCGGTTAAAACGGTTATTGGTGTACCTTCAATGTAACCTCTGAATTTAGCGATAGCCCAGACTACTGCTAGTGCTTCCCTCTCCGTGGTGCTGTAATTCCTTTCTGCTTTGGTCAGGAGCCTGCTTGCGTATTCTACGGGGTGCTCATTTTCCCCCTCCCCCTGCACTAATACAGCTCCGATGGCATAGCTACTAGCATCGGTCTTTATGATGTATGGCTTACTTTCATCAGCTTGGACTAATACCGGGGCCGAGATCAGATCAGTCTTCAACGAGTCGAATGCTTTTTGCTGTTCATTAGTCCAGCACCATTTAGCATTCTTTTTGGTCAGGCGAGTTAGCGGTTCAGATTTCTTTGCGAAATTCACTATGAATCTTCGATACCAGGAACACATTTGAAGAAAAGATAGCAAATGTTTCACGTTCTTAGGTTCGGCTTGTCCTGTAATAGCAGTGACCTTTTCTGGGTCTACTTCTAGTCCCTTTGGAGTTATGTAATGGCCAAGGTATTTAACCCTCGAGCAGCAGAATTTGCATTTGGCCCTGTTGATTGTTAGATTGTATTCACGTAGTCGGTCAAATACTTCTTGAAGATCCTTTAAGTGGCGGTCGTAGGTCTCCGACAGCACAATGACGTCATCAATGTAGATAAGGATCTTTATGTGGCTCAGCGAGATTCGGAATCTGTCCATAAGTCGCTGGAAGGTTGCCGGTGCGTTTCGCAAACCAAACGGCATTCGGACGAACTTGTAGGTTCCGAACGGGGTTACGAAACAAGTCTTGTCTTGATCTTGCTCTTGTACCTTAATCTGCCAGTAACCAGACTGTAAGTCTATCGTGGTCATATATGGCGTAGGTTTAGCTCCATGTAGCAAATCATCAATCCTCGGCAACGGATACATATCTGGAGTTGTGATCGCGTTCAGTTGTCTGTAATCCACACAGACTCGCGTTCCTCCATCTTTCTTGGGCACCATAACCACGGGTGCTGTCCACGGCGATTGACAGGGCTGAATGACACCTGCAGCGATCATTTTATCGACCTCTTGTCTTAAAAGTTGAGTTCGTGCAGACGACAACCTATAGGGTGCTACCGAAATAGGTCTATGATTACCTGTGTCAATGGCGTGTTCGATCTGTGTTGTGGGCTTACCGTTAGTAGTGAAGGCGTCTTCATTCCTTCTGAGGAGATCTTCTAACTGCTGGTGTTCCGTATCACTCAACAAGTTAATTGACGCGATATCACTGGACTCGAATAACTTTTCTAAGTCGGGGGACAATTCGGTTTCATCGTCGTACGTAGTGAGGCTATTTTTCGCGTCAAAATAAAGCGCATCTAGTACGGGTGAATGTCCGTCAAACATGAGTCGTGGTCGCTTATTCGGTGGGGTAGACAGATCGATTGGTATCAATGGTCCATATACCTGTCTTGGTGGAGTGGACGCATTGATAATGTTGGCAGTCTCTGGCACCTCATGAGCAATTTGCAATGGTGTTGTGGCTTCAATAGGCTCAGAGTGCTCACTGCCTTCTTTCGCTGTCACAGGCCTCGCTGGCTCTGGATCCTTGTTCAAGGCGGGTGTGGGTGGCTGTGGCGACTTTGGGAATTCAGGCGTTCTGGCAATAGGGGATATCATCGGTGGTAAGTTGAATTCATCCTGTAATTTGTCGATGATTACTTGATGGATGTCTTCCTCCTCAAGGTCGTAAGCAGTCGAGGGGTCATCCAGGAATCGGCAAGTCATCTGAGGGATGTTCAACATTAGCATCGCGTCCATGATGAATCCGACCCCCAACAGTGTGATGTTGCGCGTAGCCTGAGGTAAAATCACGAAAGTGGAGGGCACAACTCTTCCAAATATGGTGATGGGAGCCCTAACTGTTCGGACCGTCTCACTGTGAACCAAAACCCCATTCTAGCTGGACAAAATTATTTAAGGCTTGTAATAGGTCCTATTTGCTTTAAATACTCTTACTTTGATATGATATGTTAAAAAAAAAGCACAGAAAGCTTTTAATTAGGATAAAACCAAAAACCAGTATACGCTGACCCACTTTATCAAACATTTTGTACGTGTATGGAGGTCTAGTTAAACTGGACTTGTAAGTTAAGGTAAATTATTGTGTTTTTATGCTGGTGCTCGATATTTTAACAGCTTGACATTAGTTCTGTGAAAGTATTGGGTTATAATGCTAAACTTAAGCCTTAGTTTTCTTATACATGGCTATTAATAATAATGGAAATTAAATAAAACGATAACAATAATAATGATACTACTTATATTTATTGTAATTTGACTTATTCGGAGTCATCACAACTAGGCAAGCTCACATTTGCTAAACTGTCCTCGTTTCTTACTTTTCTTACGAAATCCAAAATTTTAGAATAAGTCATGGAACGTTTTTCTTCAGGGACCCGCTCCAGTTCAAAAGCTAGCAGTTTTGCAAACTGTTGATTTCTGGGGTCTAACGGTTTTTCCAATTCAAAATCAATATCGTGTATTAAGTTCACTTGCCCTCGCACATCACTGGGATCCCATCGATTTCTTTTATAGACAATACAATCTAAAATATCTGAATATTGGACCTGTGTTTCTTTATTCGTTTTGGATGAAGATGACTTCGATTTTGATTCACAGAATTTCCTCTTCTTTACAGATCCAAGAATGCTTGGGGACGGAGATCTATCTTCATCAGACATTTTTAACTATATTTTAACACAAATAACTGTTGCTGTTTGGTAATGCTTTAACTTCATGACAAATACTTTTTTTAACCTACCTACTTTTTTGTATTGTAGAAAAGCGTTTTGTTTATAATAAAAAAATAAATATAAGATATAATAATATTAATAACAAAAAGAAAACCTTCATTTACAAAAACGTATGTAGTTACTTATTGTACCTCCATATTTATTTATTCGGTAATATCTTCTTCACTTTCACTATCTTCACTTTCGTCATCTTCTGTAAGTTCACCGGCAATAGGATATATTGTAGATATTACAATTTCGGGTGACTTAAGCAGCTCTAAGACCTGGGAAGGCAATGAACCACTTTTCTTTTTTGGAATTTCTCTCTTGCTATTAATTAATGGGTCAGATGAAATCAATAACATGGAGATCATAT